GATGATGATCACACGCAGCAGAGGTGAGCTGAGTGACCACCTATGAGTCTACGATAGGTGGGCGTGAGATGGGCGAGAGAGGAAGGACAAAGATGGAAAAGCTCCAGAAGGGAAACCATCTTAAAAAGTCCAAATACAGGTAGTCCTCGGCTTACAAAAACAACTGTGCCCAAAATTTCCATCATTAAGCGAGATAGTGAAGGGAATTTTGCCCCATTTTACAACCTTCCTTGCCACAGTTGTTAAGTGAATCACTGCAGTTGATAAATTAGTAACCCGCTGTTAAGTGACTCTGGCTTCTCCCATTGACTTTGTTTGTCAAAAGGTCACACAAGGGGATCGCGTGACCCCGGGGACAACTGCATCCGTCATAAATATGAAAGGCCAGAATTTTGATCACATGCCTGTAGGGAGGCTGCAACAGTCGTACGTGTGAAAAATGCTCACAAGTCACTTTTTTCAGTGCTGTTGTAACTTCGAACGGTCATTAAATGAAGTGTTGTAAGTCGAGGACAACCCGAACTGCAAAAAATAAGCAACTTACTGACTAGCAAAGCCATTGCGTTGAAAACCCCCTCGTCCTTACCAAAATATCCTTGATGGCAACGCGCATCACTTTTTCAGTCTCGTTGATCTCGAGGGGCCTTCCAATTGCTTCTGTTCTCAGCTCCTGAGAGGCAAAAAAGGAAGAAAGTGAAACAAAAGAGCAACCGAGGACAAAACCCAGAAAAAAAAAATACTGTTACAGACATTAAATATGGTTTTCCTTTCTTGGCAGCAACTCCAGATTTAGGAGGATAATCGATCCCCAAACGTAGGAATCATTCAGAGGAAGAAATATAAAATAATATAATAATAAAGTTGGAAGGGAGCTTGGAGGTCAGCTAGTCCAACCCCCTGCTCAGGCAGGAAACCCTATACCATTTTGGACAAATGGCTGTCCAGTCTCTTCTTAAAAACTTCCAGTGTTGGAGCATTCGCCGCTTCTGGAGGCGAAGTGACGGTGAAGTGCTGAGAACTCGCTTTAATTGCTGTCGTATGTCTTTAAGGCCTCTTCCTGCAATCTCTTTATTAACAGTTAAAAATCTAGCACGTCAACATCGATTTAAATGAGGCTTTATTAAAATAATACGGGCAAAAAGACTGACGCGTAATGTGCCCTCCTCTGGCTTTCGGATCAGGCTCCCATGTCATTGCAGGAATCATGTTAGAAGTCACCAGTTGCGAATACAGATTCATTAAGTCACAATTTTACTAATCGTGATTTATTGAACAGACCTAATGGCTGGAGTCAATCATTATAAGCAATACAGGTAGTCCTCGATTTACATCAGTTCATTTAGTGGCTATCTGAAGTCACAATGGCACTGACAAAAGTGACTTATGACCGTTTTTCACGCTTACAACTGTTGCAGCATCACGTGATCCAAATTCAAAGGCTTGGCTATTGACTCATATTAGCATCCTGGTTGCCAATTTGCTTTGCTTATTTTGACACCTATTATTTTTTGTGATTGTGTTTGTGGGGATGCTAAGAGTCAGGATGAATTGATGGTCACAGAAAAAATCAATCAATGAATGAATAAATACATGCAGAAATGAACTGCAGAAGGCACAATCAAGTGCTGCCGCGATTGCTCTAAATGTAACAGTCGGTTAATTTCCAGTTGCTTTTATTGGCTGTAAAATGCATTATTGATCAGTGCATTTCTTTTTTTCTTTTTTTACTCTTGTCGTAAACTCGGTTACATCTGCAGGAATTTTTTCTTTTACAAAGTGACTGCAGAGCGAGACCAGTGGGCAAGTTAGCTCAAAGCAACAGGCAACGGGAATTTCAGAATAATAAATTGAGGATTACAGCTTCCGAATCTTAATTCAACTGGGCGAATCACAAGTGGGCACAGAGCACTCTTTGAAAAGGCAAAATCTTCTGTGCTTTCTTAGCGCATCACAGATGCAAGAAAAACATTTCTATCGGCAGGAAATGCCCGTTGAAAGCAAATTAGGGAAGTGTTATTAGAATTAGAGTAAAACTCCTGACAGAATCATGGTTGGGAATAGCAGCCCTAATGTTGTTGTTGTTGTTGTTAGTTGCGACCCATCGCGACCCCATGGACCACGTTCCTCCAGGCCTTCCTGTCCTCTACCATCTTCTGGAGTCCATTGAAGCTCACGCCTACTGCTTCAGTGACTCCATCCAGCCACCTCCTTCTCTGTCACCCCCTTCTTCTATTGCCCTCCATCTTTCCCAGCATCAGGCTCTTCTCCAGTGAGTCCTTCCTTCTCATTAGGTGGTCAAAGTATTTGAGTTTCAACTTCAGGATCTGGCCTTCTAAAGAGCAGTCGGGGTTGATCTCCTCTAGGACTGACCGGTTCGATCGCCTTGCAGTCCAGGGGACTCGCAGGAGTCTTCTCCAGCACCAGAGTTCAAAGGCCTCCATTCTTTGGCACTCAGCCTTTCTTATGGTCCAACTTTCACAGCCATACATTGCAACTGGGAAAACCATGGCCTTGACTATGCGTACTTTTGTAGGCAGGGTGATGTCTCTGCTTTTTAATATGCTGTCTAGATTTGTCATAGCTTTCCTCCCCAGGAGCAAGCATCTTTTAATTTCTTGGCTGAAGTCCCCATCTGTGGTGATCTTGGAGCCCAGGAAGATAAAATCTGTCACTACCTCCATTTCTTCCCCATCTATTTGCCAGGAATTGAGAGGGCCGGATGCCATGATCTTGGTTTTCTTAATGTTGAGTTTCAAGCCCTAAGGTTACATGCAGCTATACCCCGGCAGTAGAATCAGTTTATGAAGTTTAAGAGTTAAGCAAAATGGTTGTTAAACCATTTTCAGTCGAGGATCAGCCATGCTCAAAGATGTATCCGATTATGATGATTAATAAACATAAAAGCAGTATTTTATTAAGGAGGCTAGGTGCTCCTTCCTGTTTATGTTAATGTGCAACATCTACTCATTAGAAATCAGGGGAGCATCAACGTAGCATTACTGCTGATGAGCTAAAGCAGAAATTCATTTTGAAGCAATTAAGATAAATACAAAATATTCCACAGAGATGGCATATAGGTCTTTACGCATTAAGGAAAGAAAACTAAAAGCAAAAGAACCAGAATTGATACCCAACCATGGCCACAGAGAATTCTACTCCCGACACACCTGGAGAACATCAGGTTTGAAGGAAACGGATATGGGAAACTCGGGACCAATTTGGAAGAGAGAAATAAAATTGATCACCAGAGTGGAAAACAACAACATGGGAGGAAAGAGTGATGGGGTTTCAAAGCTTGTCTGTGTGCCCTAAGAACCAAATTTGACATCTCATTCACCTCTTTCAAGTTCTTTCAGGTCTCATGCTTCTCAGTTTGGGGGGTGAGGGTTGATGTCCTCGACGGCCAATTTAATGGCTCTTCATTTTAAAACCGAGGAATACTAAACGGCCATAATCTTTCCTCTGTAGTAATTTGTGCAATTTTAAATCACAAAGTTACCTAAAGCAAGTTACTCCCTGGACCCCTCACAAGCCCCCAAATCACTCCGATCTCCTCTCTTCTACTAACAACATATGTCACTGCAATTCTGTCGTGGAAGAAAATATATTTAATGCCAGGAATTATTCCCTGGGGAGGAGGAAATGGCTCCTATGACAAGAAGCAGCACATAGAATAATTCGTTATGGTTCCTTCACTGATTTGGGACTCTTGTATTTTGAAGGCAGATCAAGCCTGAATGGATTTCATTCTCAAAGCAACAAAGCACAGCTCAAATTTCATGCAGCGCTGGTACTGTGGGAAGAGTGGGAGGCTGTAGAC